TCACCTAAGGGTATCTTTGGGCAAAATATGAGCGATTTGTCAAATGGGACGTTGACCGGCGTTTCTCGATCCTAACAGTCAGCCATTCTTAAGAGCAGGATCTGGGTACGAGATGCGGCTGCCATAGTAATATGCTAGAAATCAAGGCTTTTTTTTAACTTTTTTATTTATTTACTTACTATTTTACTCGTTTCAGTCGTTTCGCTTGTTTTGGTGGTTTCGTTTCGTTTCGCTCGTTTCGCTCGTTTCGTTTCGTTGTTTCGGGTTTTAGTACATGCCCTTTGTTTGACTAACAATGCTTCACATAAAGAAACTTGTGGGAATGCATAACAAAGAGACATATACGCGCGTATATACGCGCGTATGTGCGCGTATATACACGTATATGTGCGCGTATTAACATACGCGTATACGTAAACTACGCTCGTATAATAAGCTTATGCCTAGTTCGCATATATCTGAGCTGCACTGTATGTACAGAGACCGGAGATTGACACTGGTTTGATTGGCCATGGGGCTTGAACACATAACTCATCTAATCTATTTCATTAAACTTGTGCAGGGCTCCTCTGTCTCAATAAGTAGCTAAATAACAGCCCTACAACATTTTGATTCATATTTCTAGTATCCACTAGTATCACAAATTCCATTAAAAGTGTTTTAGTTATTTTAGTGCTTTGATTAGTCAATTAACTGGGTGTATTCTATTGTATGGCCTGCTAAAAAGTGCCGGAAGTCGTTGTCGTCTTTTTTCCTTCCNAACTTGTGGGAATGCATAACAAAGAGACATATACGCGCGTATATACGCGTATATATGCGCGTATATACGCGTATATGTGCGCGTATTGACATACGCGTATACGCAAAATACGCTCGTATGATACGCGTATGCGTAGTTCGCTTATATCTGAGCTGCACTGTAAAACAGGGGCGTAGCCAGGACTTTTAAAGGGGGGTTACACTCTGTCAAAGTGATGCTACTCACCAGATTGTCATCACGATATTGATTTTGCCACCTGTTGTAGGTTGTTTGCTTAAAAAGGCTTACAAAAGGGGGGTCACAGGCACCCCAGGGCCCCCCTAGCTATTTATAGCCACTCAGCTCTCGGAGGCTAATCTACATTATGATCATTGACATGAAAATGATAGATATTTTTGTGTGCAAAAGTTATCACAATTTAAATGTTCTTCAGGTGATGGCTGCAAAATCATGATGTTAAAAAGACTAAGCTTCAGGTTACATTATTTTAACAAATTATGTAATCGGAAAGATACCTGCTGATGAGCTCTCCATCTGAATTTGAAGCGTCCAAATGCCTCCTTAGAAAACCAACAATCCCCACTCAGGTTTGCAGCACGAATCTATGGGTACAAACAAAAAAATAAGTGTTTTCTATTTTGGTGAGGACTATATTCTGGGGAAGCATGGCCCCATACCCCTCTAGAAACTCGTGCCTTTCTGCACTTGTTTAATAAATCAGTCACAATTTATCCTAGATCTGGGAGGGTTACAGACTGAAGTGTCTCCTTTCCACGGTATGCTTCATTCATACCTCCTCCAAATTTCTGGTATTTTGCCTTTTTACAAATCCCACTTCCCACTTTTTCCTCAGCCTCCACCCTTGTTTTCTCCTGGGACCCCCCTGTACCTTGTAATGAAGGGTCCTTTTAACATATCGACGTCAGCTTTTCATGTGTCTGTCCCGTTACTGATCATGAATTTCGTCATAACATTGTCAAAGTAACTGTGGATCCATGAGGCGATAGCCAAGTGGATCCGCAGACTACTTTGACAATGTTATGACAAAATTCATTGTCAATAACAGGACAGACCCGTGAAAAACTGACGTCAGTTTGTTTTGTTATGATAAAAAATTGTCAAATTGTTCGGTCTCGCTCATTGATACATTGCATAAATTATAAATTCATGTGTCTGTCCGCTTATTGACAATGAAAATTAGCCAATGAGCACGCAGGAATTTCTGCAGTTATCGCAAAAATTCATATTGAGGACAAGCAAGTTACCATCTATAAAATGCTTGAAACAAATACCTCAGTACAAGCTAAGTGCTTCACATTGTCAGGATCATATTTGATTCTGCAATTATCATATGCATGGATGAGCTCGTGAGTTAGAACATTTTCCATTGCACTTTGGGTGTATATTGCATTCTCACATAGGAACATCTGTAAAAGGGGAAACAATATAAAAACATGACAATCATCCTAACAAAAAAATGGCCTTAATGAGCTGGACTATTCTAAATTTCCCAGATAACCATTCTAGACACCTGGTGCAAGGATTTTCTCTTTCTCCATAAACAAAACAAAGCTTCAATCAAGTCCCATCATTATTTTAAGAAATATCCAACCAGACTTGGACCAGACCTATTTGCAATTTTAAATACAGTAGACACCCACTTATAAGAAACTAGTGATTCATAACTTGTTGGCTGAAATTTTGGCATCTAATTCCCCAATATGAAAGAACTTGCTGGGCTTAAAAATTGAAACAGGTTCTTATCTGGAAAGTAAATTTTAGTGTACTGGGAAACCTGACTTTTCCTACTTAACTAATGATTGCATGTAACATTCTAAATTTCCTACCTTTAAGCCAGGGGAGGTATTCATTCAAGTAATGTGTCAGTATGACATATTTACAGACAAGTATGTGAAAAGCATATTATTTTGAAGGTTACCTCTTTGGCATCATGATCAAATCCTCCAACAAGCTTTGGGTCACAGGGTTCACATACGAAGTGTTTGTCTGGATCCACATCACTTAAGGCAATCACAAATAATTTTGGAGTTAAATAATCCTTTCTTAGCAGGGAAGGAGGGGAGGGGGTGGAACAAGGGGCTGGGGTGGGTTATGACATGCATGTTTCTCTTAAGGGAGGGGTCACCTCTGGGTGAGTGACTAGAGTGAAATGAAATAGCTTCATTTGTAAGGAAATTCAAATAGACGAAAAAGAAGCAGACATTTAACGATAAAAAATTGCGATAAAACATTAATGATGATTTACATCAAGGAGCACAATCCTAGTCTCAACACGCAGACAGATTCCATTCGTGTAAAACTCTTTGATTAAAAGAACATTCCATCACCCACTGTCTTTTTAGTAATTAAAAATTTTTTATCTTTGACTCTGACTTGATAATGACGTTAGCCAAACATTGAAACATTGTCAACAAACTTTTAATATGCTTTTATGAATTGTTTTATCGCAATTTTTTTTTATTGTTAAATTCAAAGAGCCATAATTATACAGGATCTTCTAAAAAATTGTCCAACAAAAATATCCTGTCTTATAATCCATCAAATATTTTTGTTCATGTGCGATTAGTCTAAACACGTCATGTGACCGAATATTCCCCAGCTGAAACTGGGGAATATCTGAGAATATTCCCCAATTTACAAAACTGCACACGTTACGAAAAAGATTTGAAGAATAATAAACACAATAGCCTCCATTTGGAGCGAAAATATGCTCAGATATTTGTCCTTGGACATTATCTGTTCCTCGAAGCTCACAGTTTTCCTCGAGCTATGCTCTCGGAAAACTGTTCACTTCTCGGAACTGATAATGTCTGCGGACAAATATCCTAGCATATTTTCACACCAAATGGAGGCTATTGTTTATATATTTTCAGGGTTCAAATAAAGTTTGAACCATGCCCAGATTGTTGTCCTTTCGGAGACTAATTCAAATTTTCCGCCAAGCATCACCGACCCCTTTCACATGGGAGTCCCCTTTTCTCTGGAGCCCCTGTATTGGCCTCATTTGTTGTTTTCCTTGAAAAAAAGTGGATGTCTCAAATTTCCCTTGACCTCATGACAGATGCAGTGCTTGTCAAAATATTCTCTGATCAATGTGTGTTGATACTTGTTTCATTTTTTGATAGTCAAATTTATTTAGGGCCTGTTTACAAGGAGGGAGGAGTGGGTTAACCCTAGCTGGAGGGCAAAACATAACCTGAGTTTAACAAGCAAAATTTCAGAGGTACAGTAACCCTACAACCTGGCCGTACAACTTAATACACTCACAGGGTCTGGAAACAAGTAGAAAGTTAACCCCAGTAGGTGGGTTAACCCTACCTGGAGTGTTTACAAGGGAAAAAGTTAACTCATCTGCCATGGTAACCCTAGCATGTAAACACGACAAAGAAAACAAGAGGAAATGTGTGAGTCTAGTCTATCAACTTTATTGGTCTCATAAGTTAAATATATACATAAGTAGTAAATCAATAGTAGAAATGAAAAGGCCAAAAGGGATTGCGCGAACGGGAAAAAGTATCCCTTGCGAGGCACAACCCAAAATCTAATTAAAAAATTCTGATAAGAAATCTAAAATTTTAATGAAATGACAATAAATCTAATTAATTACTAATAGTGCACAGTTAGGTGCAAATAAAAGAGTCTAAAAAACAACAACAAAAACAAAAACAAAAACAAAAACAAAAAAAGGTGCAAATAAAATCAGTCAGATAAAATTAAGAGCGGTGGCAAGGGCAGTTACGGGAAAGGAACCAGGTGCTGGGCATGTCAATATTATGAGTAATGTCCAGTAAAGGAAGCTTAAAATAAGTGGCGCGCAGAAAATTTTTAAACATACTTAGAAAACTAGTCACGAGGGACGAGATTACAGATAATGTTCCAGGGTTTTACAATTGTATCGAAAAATGAGGCCTGAAAAGTTGCGTTTTTACAGTAGGCAGGTTTGATACGAGTGTATCGATATGTATACGTATATGTATACGAGTGTATCGATACGAGGTTCTTAGAACGAGATCGGCCACGTGTGACCGAGGGGTAAGGCCGCTTCGCTAGGGTAACCCGCTTACAAGGGTATTAAAATATACCCTCTCTCCTTGTAAACAGGCCCTTAGTGATATAAATACATTTGTTATCTCATAGTACTGACTAGCTATTCTAGGTACTTACCATCCTAGTCTACTCATAGCATCCAGCATGAATCTAACATATGCCGCTAAAGGAAGCACCAGAAACGTTTAGAAGGTTTGTCATGAAGCCCTCGCGTGATTGCATCACGCCACCATCACGCCACCCTAAATTGTCAAATAAACATTCGATTTAAAGGTCGAAAGTCTACCTTTCGGTTACTTACAATTTCGACAGGCTTTTGCAAGTCTCTCTTTGCATTTTCGGTGCAATCTTGCATTCGATTCTGCAGAAGGCTTTCGTGTGCAATCTTCACCGTGTTCCAAAAGTTCCGCCATGTTGAATTAACATGCGGTTCGCTTTGCGGGCTCATTCAGCTGTTTTGAGTTGATTTTAAGATGGCGGACACACTGTAGACTACTTTACGCGTCACTTTACGGTTTCCTGAGAACGACAGGTGATTTGATGGCTAGTCTGCTTGCCTGTGCAGGTGTAGCTGCCCAGTTTCATCACCGATGCCAGGAACTCCTGAGTGCTTAAGCGTGAAGTTTATTTGCCAATGCTTCGTTCATGTTTTAGTTCACTGTTAAGTTCTAGGTCCCGTCGCCTTAAAAAGATATGGATGTTCTGCTTTCTCTCTCTGACTTCTGTGGCAGCTACTGTCTTGGTTTATCAGATCTTATTTATGGACGGTTCAGATTATCTGACAAAGTATGAAGATGAGTACCGAAAGTGGAATTCGCTCAGAGACTGGCCGAAGGTGTTGCGTTACAAACTGATCAAAGCCATAACAAATTCAACAGCCTCAGCATGCCCTCCGTTTTCCATACAGACCATACACACCAAGCCGTTTTCAACCACGCCGGCATCCTGTCGTCTACCAGTAGTTCGAAAAGAGGCCTGTTCCTTTGCGAAATCCATCTTTACGATGAATCCTGCGAATCAATCTTGCAACACCTCGCAGGTGAATTTGTGTAGGATGGAAAAGACACCAAGAGGATACCCTAAAGTTGAATGCCATACCACAAGCTGTGGATCATCAGACATTATTTCTGTGGGATTCATCGATCCACACGATGGTTCCCTTAGTTGGCGACACTTTTCATTCCTTCAAGACGTAGAGAAAGCCCTCAATAACTATATTCAAAGTGCACCGGCAGAAGACTATTTCCCTTTTGCTTTTCTGAGGTGTGATGAATTCTGGAATCCAACGGCCAAGACTCAGCTTTTTCTTCTTCCACCTAGAGGTGCAACAGCTGATAAATCCCGCGATAAATTTCAAGTCAAAGCAATTAATGTCAACATTATGCTAATCGACTCTGTCTCCAGACCTCATTTCTTTCGCTCCCTTCCTCAAACTGTCAAGGCTTTTAGAAGCATTAACGCAAATACATCAGCATTGGTTCTAGATTTTGAGCTGTTTCATGCCATCAAACACAGGACATTCGAGAACATAAATACCTTGTTTTCAGGGGAACTTCTTGACATTGAACAGTTTGTTAACCCTGTTCCTGTCAAAGCAGATGTAATGTTTAACAAGTTTAAATCTTTGGGATATCAGACAATGTGGCAAGAAGACCTGTGTTGGACATACGAATGGGGACTGGTTAGGGACTTAAAAGTTATGAACCAAAGTTTACCACTGAAGGAAATATGGCACAACTTAACATCTACGTTAAAGAAGAACTCTATTGATTTCACAGGAATAACCCACTCAAGCTGTGAAGTTTTCAAGAGCTTTGGAGTTCCAGAGCCTTTCCATGGCCCCTCGAAGATATGTTATGGAGGAAAACATTACCACAGCTTGTTTTTACACTTCTTGGAAAATTTTCTCCAGGAAGTGAATGCAGATTCAGATAAGAAACCACTGTTCTCTTTTTCAATGCTGAATGTGGGCCATGAAGACAGTGGACTTAGAATTCAGACTTTTGATGAAGGACTAGCAAATTTTGTAGAGAATTTAGGCACTGACCCAAACACTTTGAGCATAATACTATCAGATCATGGCAACACCTATGGTGCTTTTCCCAGAACAATGGAGGGACGGTTTGAAGTATTTCAACCACACTTGTTTATTGTAATACCAAATCGGGTTCAAAACCTGCTTGGCAAAAATAGAGTGCAGACATTAAAACAAAATCAAAAGAGACTGGTGTCCATCATTGATTTGCATTACACCTTAATGGCAGTTGCCTTTGATATTGGCAACAAGGGACTACAGCAGCATCTTGGCCTGTTTGAACCAATTTCAAGAAACAGAAGTTGCGAAGACCTCCAACTTCTCAGTTCTTCACTTTGCGTTTGTCAAGGATGGGAGACAAAAGTCCATGGAAACTCATTTCACTCTATTATAGCTGAATTTGTGCTAGGGCAACTTAATGGAAAGATACAAACTCAGTTCCTTGAAAACATCCAAACAAATAGACCAGTTTCTGGTTTTGGATCTTGTGAAAGGCTCAAGGGAGAAAGGTTTGATAATGTGCGAGAAAAGAGAAATGGTGAAACTCTCACAGTCTCCCTTGATATTTACGTCCAACGTCAGGAATTGTTTTCAGCTACAGTTCAAGTGATCACTGAAAGTGTGCTGATTAACATGAAATTGGTTCAATACACAAGATTCAGTGAATATGGCATTTATCAGAGCTGTGTAGACAAGGGAGTTGATTTAAGACTCTGCATCTGTGAGCAAAGAACAACAAAACATAATTCAACCACAAACTCACCTTCTGTTTCAAGAGAAACTTTTGCAACAACCAAAGAACCACCAACGCCAAAATGGCAACATTATGGCAATGTCTTTGATTCCGTTACAAGAGCTGATGAGATGCATGAGAACTGCCTTTTCATCCTTTTACGAGAACACAAGAGAGGTGTGGTAATTGAGGCTGCTAATTCATGCAGTTTTGTTACATATACCATTGATCTTCATTTGTCACTAAACAACATGCAAGTGTCAGAAAGGACTCCTATTCATAAAGAGCTGGGGCCTGGTGCCATACACTTCTTGATAGCTGTGATTCAACTTGATCCTAACATCAACTGGAGCTGGAAATACACTGTGAACTTTTCATGGAAACTCATACGTTAACAAGATCTTTTTAGTTAAATCAGACGTGATACAAGCATCAGAGATATAGTTCATATGAGGAGCAGTTTAAAAGTAGCTGTTATTGATTTAAGTGTTTGTATCCCCTACAGAGGTTTTCAGTTTTACAGCATCTCTGTAGAATGGTATTAGTCCCAAAAGCTTTCATCTCAATTCCAATGCTTTTCCTTCTGAAATAGAACCATAAAGTTCCTGCTTGAGCCATGCCCATCCTAGTTGACAAGAAAATGTCCCAGGCTCTAGATAAGTATATAATAATTATGGTCACTACAGGAATGATAAATATTGCCACAAATATTTTTCATAAAGCGTCATCATGTAAAATTCATACCCTTAAAACATTTGGGACCTGATAAAAACCATGATTGTGGCCATGGAAGCAAGGATATTGAGCACAACAATACATAGCTTAATTATGCATGTTTACACATACTTAAGTTATCTTCTACAAACTGAAAAAAAGAATTTTGTAGAGTGCAAACCATGATTCCTAACTTTGAAGTGAACACCTTCATGTACTCCTCCGAAAGTGACATACACCAATCTCTGTGGCTGATTAGCTTGGATGGACATGGCTCAAGCAGAAATTTTAATTGAAAGTGTCAGAAGCATAAAATGGTTTTAGGTCTATTATCAATACCTTACAGTGATAAAAAACTGCAAAACTAGACATTAATTGTTTCACATACTGTAGATTGCCCACAGTGTAATTCAAGTTGAAGAAGCAGAGATTTCATCCATATGGAGTTAAATATTTTATTCAAAGCTAATGCCTGTGTTTTTTCTTTACAGGTAATTTGACTGAACATAGATTATTAAACATATATGGATTACTTAAGCATTAAAAGGACACATTTCCTATATCACTTAGTGGTTTCTCATACATTATTTGCTCATACTTTCCTGTGAGGTCATGTTTTACTTTTTAATACAGGAAAGAAATATTATTATAAACTAACGTTGAAAATAATTAGGATAGTGGCAGTTTAAACTTGTTAGTAGCCTCTTGGCTTGGAATTAAAAAGTGTCTCTTGTCCATAACTTGAATGTGTCTTATTTCCTGACCAGGGTTTGTTAAGTGCTTAATTATCTATAGAAAAAATTCTCAATCGTGATTGGTTCTCCTTATGCCTATTTGTCACACAATCAGCATACAATCATGTGGCAGTCCTACTAAAGGTATTCAGTGACAACTTTTTGTAACTGGATACCTGTTAGTGGATACTTACGGCACGCACATGTCAATTACATGCACTTTCGTGGCTTCCTTAATGTTTCCTACGGTTTTTAAAACTTATGGAAAGCACTCCTGACCTCTTTTTGCTCAAAAGAAGTTCTCAAAAGAAGTTCTCAAAAGACTTCTTTAATTTTGAAATTTGTTACGGATACAATTAGTAACTGAACCTTGTGTTATACAATTCAGGAAGTCATCATGCTTTTAATTTCAACTCGGTCTACTGCTGCATGCTGGTCCAAAATTGAAATAAGTTGTGCTATTACTCCCTAAATTGTGCTTCACTTGGTCCAATAATTTACTATTAAAAAAAAATTATAGTAACTATTCATGATTGTTCCTTGATGTCTTTGTTACATATGAGTCCAATAGTTTGATTCTGGTTGTCTCCAGGATTCAGGAAATAATGCCTTGAAATCAAAGTTCTTGAAAAACTGAAGGCGATGACTGAAAGGAAGATGATTGATTATAGTAAACAAGGTTTAAAACTATTTTTTGCTAACAATATTACCGTATATATTATTTATTTGGCTTGCTTTAATGGCAACTTGTTTTGAGACTCAAGTCTGGTGAAATGTTAAGACGGTAACAGCTTCATTGGTTTGGACTGTGTATAATATAAGTTGGCAATACATTGGTTGGCCTTACTGGAGTGGTTGATCTCTGGCTGGGACCAATTTATTGTGTTTTTAGATGTGGCACAACTTCATCAGTGCTCCCATCAGTGCACAATTCCAAGGTATTTTATTGTCACAGTGCCTTTCCCCACCCAGGAATGTAAAAATACTTGGGTTGTGGGGGATGGGGTGGGGTTAAAAAATTACTAGTGACTATCATCCCATTTAGGGGTAGTGACAATCAATTCACTCCAAGGAAACCAGGACAAGCTCTGCCACTGTCTGCCACTTCAACCCAAATGTTGTCTAAATTTGTATCCAGTAAGTTACAGGTACTATTTATCTTGGTGAAAGAATGAAGGCAAGATAGTGCACTATGCCTGCCTTTTGCAGTCTACTTACAAGTCGGGTGTGTGGAAGTCCTTGGAAGCTGGGTACAGTGCTTCATACTGTCTCCCATTCCCAGATCCATGGATAGCATATGCATTAATCTTTGTTACTTCAGGAGGGAAGTATTCTAATGGTATAATGGCACTTCCTTTCCATGTTTTGCTTGCATCATCTATCTCAGCTGTATAATTTAGATCAAGTTTATCCTGAAGTGAGAATGTCACATAATATTATTATGTCATTGAATAATTTGCTGAAATAATTTTCAAGAGACTTGTAAATATGATAGCAGTGAGTCCAAAATATATAATTAGCTTTTAATGGCAAAATGCCAAACTTTTATGTTTTAATAAAACAGCCACTTCACTCTCACAGTGCCTCTCAGGACTAAACATTTTAAGTCATCCTCTACTTCATTTGTTTAGGTTTTTTAGTATCACACAGTTTAGTACGCTGTCATTATTGCAAAAATATTAATATAATTCCAAAACCATGAAAATACAGAGAATTACCTGCTAGCTGGCAACATGGCTCTAGCTACTTTGATCCTTGCATATTTTTCATTATTTTATAGTCGCTGAAATGGCAACAAAAGTTCTTTCACCTTACCTTTACCATATTTCTTGTGCCATTGAGAAAAAGCACTAGATGCTGGCCATGACTAAATAAAATACAATGATAACAAAAATGGTTTTAGCTTTGTTTTCATTCAGGATAACCCATAAAGAACAGTGGGAGGAGAAGGGAGGGTACTTTTCTTACTTTATTTTAAATGTGCCAGTGTAGAATTTCAGGGAGACTGTCAAGTTTGCTTTTTGGAAAGCTGGTTCAGTTTCCTTTCTGGGGTCATTTGAAAAAATGAAGGAGGACTGAGGACAAGTATTGTTATTTTGAATTGAGGTCATACTGTACTGACAACAGATATTTCATCATCATCATGATAAGATATCTGTTGAAAATGATGAGGACCACAAAGATTATAAACCATGGAAAAAGACATTTCCATGGTGATGGTAGTGGGGCTGCAATTTAATTGGCACTTCTGCCTACAATAATGCTATCAAGTTAATAATGAAGTAAATTATGTAGCTTGTACATGAGCAGAATCAATATTTTCTAGAGACTGTAACTTAATGAAACACTTACGGGCATAACTCAACCTCCAGATATTTATCTTCTTTTCCCAGGAAGAAAATCTCAGCCACTACAATTAAGAGTGAACAAGAAATAAAAACCACCCATTCAGTCCAGAGATACGTGTGCCAGTTGAGGTTATAAAAAGTCAATTTTTTTATGTCAACTAGGAATGAAAAATTAGTCCATTTAGCATTGGCATGAGCTGGCATGAAGTCAAAGCCCAGGGAAGGGGGGAGTACTCCCTATAATGGCCTAAACAGGGGGGGCTCTACCCGAAAGGGGTTCCTTTTTCAGGCTTCAGGTATTTAAAAGGGTTGGAAAATCACAATTTAAGATATGAAATGATAGGGAAACTTTTAAATGGGCCTTTCATATTTAAAATATTTCCAACAGATGCACCTTAGCTTATGGCTGTATCATTTAATTTACCCCTGTAAACACTACATGAAAATGACAATACTTCCTTTTCTGGGGATTTTATCCATAAGACAGGCCAGTTATAGCAGTTACATGAAAGTGGGACTTTGTTCAATAAAAGGTGTTCAAAACGGGTACCTTTTCTGTCAAATTGGTATATAAAAGGGCTAGGGGCAAATAGTGGACCTCAGGGAAGGGCCTTCCCACAAAAACTTTGTTGAGTACCCGAGTCAAAACTATCAACTTGCAGTTACCACTAGCAACTTAACCTTCATATTCCCACAATTCAGGGCAGGGACTTCCTGAGGTCACTGGTGGAGGTCCTGGATCATTAAATAGAGGTCCAGCCACATCAACCCTCACTGAGGTCTTGTTTTCGGAACTAACTTTTAACTCCACAGGGCTGTGATTAACAGGTTCCCCATTCCAAGTTGTTGCTATGGAGAACACAAAATCCTGTAAAGAAGAATCAAAATTAACATTTACAATTATTTTGACTGTGACTTTTTTATACAGTGACGAATGACCTGACTAGAGATCCTGGGATCTGGTCCCTGGATAACATCACTAGTTATTACTGGCAGATCCAGGGATCCAGGGTTCAATCCAGGCTTGGAGTGAGTATTAGATCCTTCTGTCAGGTCCCAAAAATAGCCCAAAATCCCATATAAAAAGGACGGGGCTGCTTATCGGAAATTTTGAAAAGAGCGCCTAAGAGATACCAAGATCCTGCTTTGTGGGTGTGGCTTAATTTTTTTTCACCCCTAAGAGGTAAATAAATAAATAAATAAATAAATAAATAAATAAATAAATATCTTAATTGACCACTTCTCCAATGAGACTTTTCAGGGCCAATGAAACCAATTGATGAAACAAATAATGCAAATGACCATAACATGGTTAAAAATCCAAACTGGCAGGGGGCACAACAGTTGGTTGCGGTACCAGGTACCAATTCTAAAACAACACATTTACTGACACTTTCATAACTTTTTATAGCAACAAAAACAATTGCTAAGAATAATTTCTATTCATAAAGTTGATTGAAAAATATCTCCTGTCATATATCCATTTATTATATGGAGAAGAGTGTTTTACTGGGAACTAAACCACTCGTAGATTCCATACGCCACTTCATCCGGGACCCACCTTTGTGAGTGTCGTATCGTTCAATGAAGTCACGATTCCCGCCTTTTGCTTTTGTTGAATTGGTTTCTCCATATAATAAAAAGAACATTACATGTTGGCTTGAAGATATGAATTTTATGTTCTCGTGGCAAGAACAATATCTTGCCACTCGAACATAAAATTCATACCTTCTCGCCACCGTGTAATATCCTCTATATATCCTGTCAGAACCCGCTGTTGACCTATTGAGCCTGAACACCCTAAAAGGTACGTTCCTCTTTGTGTCTCCCCCCCGCTTGCCGCCGGTGCTGAGGGGAACTTTGCTGTTCTTTGGGGGCATACCTCTTTCAGAAATTTTACATGTGTAATTAAAATATTACAATTGAGAGCTCTCAGAGCTTTGTTCAATTTATTGAGTCTTTATTGAGGCGTTAAATCGGTGACTTTATCCCGAAGATCTCTCTGTTTCATTTGATGTTTCCGAAACTGTTAAAATTATGCCAATTACCTTGATCGAATGAAGTCCCCCCAGTCACCAACGCAGCAGGTAAAATTCCCATACCCTTTAGGCCGGACACAAAATACTTATGAAACCAACGGAAAAGTAAAAAGTAAGGGAAATATTTATACCTTGCGATTCCCCATCAAGAGTTACAGTCGAAAGCAAGGTCGATTTACGTCCACACTGGCCTTTCTAGCCTCTCTTTCATGTACCGCAGACCGGAAGTAAAACTATAACGGTGTCAAATTGCATTTTGTAATGGGCGATGAAACGACAGCGTTAGTCGCGGAAGTGGATGGCAAAGGTGGGGTACCAATCATTCATCACGCTGAATTTTTCCATTAAATCACGCATCAGGGAGATTTTTTTTCATCAATCACGCGTGACGTAAAAAAAGTAAGTACATAGCCAATTTTACTTTCTCGACCCTAAAAGCGTTTTTAAAAGAAGAACTTTGCCGATGTAACCACAAAAATGCATCGGCAAATCTTAAAGCCCTCATTATGACCCTTCTGTAGGGGATAAATGAGATGTAAGCTGTGTAGGTTCATGTGGGGATTAATGAGATGTAGGCTATGCAGGTCTATGTAGGGGATTAATGAGGTGTGGGTATATGTGGGGAATTAATGAGCTGTAGGCTATGAAGGTATATGTGGGGGATTAATGAGCTGCAGGCTATGTAAGTATATGTGGGGGATTAATGCGATGTTGGCTGTGTAGGTTTATGTGGGGATTAATGAGTTGTGGCTATGTGGGTATATGCGGGGGATTAATGAGATGTAGGCTGTGTAGGTATATGCGGGGGATTAATGAGATGTAGGCTGTGTAGGTAGGAGGCACGGTGGCCTCATGGTTAGTGCGCTCGTCTCCGGATTGAGCGGTCCGGGTTCGAACCCTGGCCGGGGGACATTGTGTTGTGTTCTTGGGCAAGACACTTTACTCTCACAGTGTCTCTCTCCACCCAGGTGTATAAATGGGTACCGGCGAGCTTAATGCTGGGGGTAACCCTGCGATGGACTAGCATCCCATCCAGGGGGGAGTAGAAATACTCCTAGTCGCTTCATGCTACAGGAACCGGGATAAGCTCCGGCCTSATGGGCCACTTGGCTCGCATGCAGGCTTTACCTACCTTACCTTTACCTAGGCTGTGTAGGTATATGTGGGGGACAGTGATTGTTGCGTTTTTAAATTCCTTCAGTGTAGTGTAGACGATCGGGCCTAAGCTTCCTAGGCTGCAAAAAACGCTCTTCAAACCGGAGGAATTTGAAAACGCCGGCTTTGAGTTTTCATGTGGGCGGAAAACATTTTAAAACGGACCTTTTCGAACACGATAGATGAGGAGAACCACGTGATTTCCCTGGCCGAGATTTCTTCAAACAAAAATATGAAACGACAGGTGATTGTTGCGTTTTTAAATTCCTTCAGTGTAGTGTAGACGATCGGGCCAAAGCTTCTTAGGCTCCAAATGAAGTCAATAATCAGGCGTTCTTCAATGAGTCCAAAGAGAAAAAAATCGGAGGAGTTCCCGGCCGCGCAAAGGAGAAATGCACCATAAATAAACACGGTAAACAAAATATAAATATTTAGGAGTGGAACTCTTTAAGGACCTCGACCAAGTTTACCTAAAAGGAAGTTCATGACATCCAGATCTTGGGTATACAATTTATTATCGAATACCAGGGTACGTGATTCGTATACCTAAAAGGAAATTTATGACATCCCATTCAGATCTAAGGTGTACAACGACAAGCCGCTCGTTTTGTTAAACATTTGTATTATCGAATACCAGGGTATGTGACCGGTCTCTTGAATGAGCTAGTAATGATAACGCATCCCATTGAATCGGTTCTGCAACCGTTTTTCGTTCAATCAGTTGTTATCAGTTCATGTGGAACCAAGAGGGTGTTCACACATACTACTGCCGCGACGGTCGCTGCATGTAACATGCAATATTCGTTAGATTTAGAACAATTAAGATTACGGAAAACGGATATCGGAGCCCCGTGTGCTCTAGTGACGGTTAGAACTTATTTCTTCTGTAATCTTTAGAGATCAGGTGCTTTTCCTTGTCTATTCTCAGAGAGTTCACACGCATTTTATCGTGCTCCGCTATTTTGTATTCAGTTAATCGGTTTTCAATTCGTCAAAAATGTCTCTCGCAAACGAGAATTCATTATCAGTTGCACCTTTGGCTAATTAACTCAAGTACTTGGACACAAAGGATCAATTCAAGTCATATGGGGATTTTACAGATTTGATTTGTCTGGCCAAGACATTACTCGACACCAATCAATGGTACTTCAGCATCGATACTGGCCTTGTCACATCCGTTGTTTTTCTCGACTTAGCTAAAGCTTTTGACACCATTGATCATAATATTAATTATTCCAATAATTTTCCCTCGAAATAAAGTGGTGACCCATACGGGAGACCGGATAATATGGGAGAGTTTTCACCGTCTGGAAGTGAACAGGTTCCCGACGCCTTCTTTCCAAAAAAAGAAAAGTGGAAAAAGAAAGGCCTGATCGCAGGTTATAACTGCTCTAAATTCATCGTTTTCTACGCGTCATATAATGTCATAAAATTATTAGCTATAATTAAGAATACTACCAGTATATTTTCAGCCTAAAATCGGCAGAAAATAGGAATATTCAGTCTGGGCCTGAAAAACATTATTCTTATAAAAAAAAGACTGTACTACGACATGCAATGTAGAAAGCACCAGAGGCGAGTATTGAACTTAAATGAGCCCAGTTAAGTATTGCCAAAGCGCCATAGTATAAAACTCTCTAGGTTTCACTGATTTGAGTTGTAAATTTGTGCAAAACAGTAAAGCGCAAAAAAATGTTGGATTGCAATGCATTGTAAAGAGCAACGGCAAGACCAGTGATGGCAAAGACGAGAAACACATTTACCCCCAACCAGTCCGTTTTGTTTGGCTGTACATCTTCCTGTGTTCCCTATGGAGCAAACTGAAACCCTGGGATGAGTTTGGAGGAAGAATGATGAAATCTGTTGTGTGGATTGAACAAGTAGATAATCAGAACTGTGAAAGACACTGTTGACGTCAGTACCAGTAGAATTACAAGTAACAGAGATCCAAATGGTGGGTTGTGATGGTTGTCGTGACCCCGGGTCCATTATATATATGGGTAACGTGCATTTCCATGCCAAATGCCATCCATATTAGCACAGCGACAGTGATGGATGGGACCATATTGCAAAGTTAGGAACTCTCCACAAGTTTAATCTCCTTGGCCAGTTTGGCGGAATGGCATAAAAAAAATGAGTATTAATAATGTTGTCAGGATTCTTTTTGATGTGACAAACTCTTTGAGGGTTGCACACGGGACCCCTTTCCCTCTGCGAACAAATTAAACAACAAAGTGATGATAGGTGGTGAAGCAATAAAAGAACTCTCTCTTCTCTTGAACGGGGTTTAAAACATTTGTGGCCACTTTTAGACCATGTTTAAACAATCACTATAACAGTGAAAAATGCCACTTGAAAGGGAAATGATGGCGTTTTACTTCTTCATTAAGCGCTCTCTAAATGATACCTCGCAACTTAAAATAGTGGCAGTGTGTCCTGAATATGATAAGGCCATCAACAAAAGCCCTTCATAATTTATGTGTTTGGTCATAAATAGGGTAAGGGTTTTGGGAAGCGGACCGCACAACCCTACCCAATTATTCTGGGTGAGTCCTCACCCCCGGTGAGTCCCCCTCCCTCACCCCTTAACCTTACCTTTTAATTTAGGGGTATTGAACTGGAAAAAAATATGCCAGGAAAAAGACTTTGGCACCTTTTACATGTTGCTGTTTTTCTTTCGTCGATCTCGTCCCTAAACCTTCTTGTTATATTGCCGCTATTCTGGATGAAGACGTCACAAATGAGAAAGCAATTGGTGCAACAAGAGCCACCAACACAGGTTAATTATAATGGAGCTAGAAAGGTCATAAATGCTCTAACCTGCGATCATACCATCCCTCCCTTCTGACAATGAAAAAGAATAACAATAATATTATGAGAAAATAAATGATCTATTTTATTTTCTAAAGGAGAATTCTTTACAATTGCATCATATGTACAAACAAAATAATGTATTTACAAGTTCACAAAAGAACATTTTTAACACAATTATAAATAAAGAAAGTAATGGCTGCAAATATGTCATAATTGATGATTCTTAACCTGTTTCCTTCATTAAGACAAGATACACCTCAGTTAATGGTTACAACTGAAAATATTCCATGTTGAGACAGTATCCTTTCTTCTAATTACAGTAACAACAAAAATATCTCTTCTAGCTACAAGTGCCAACTTGCCTCATAACTATTTGTTCTGAGGGTCAAATACTGCTTAACAGCTATCAACAAGCCAAATAATCACTTTTGGAAAAATTGTTAATTTTTTGGTAGCATATATATTTACTAACCAAAATATTACTTTATTACTCAGAGTAAATATTAGATGTTTTGTCAGAATAGCACTGTCAACTAAGGCTACAAGAGTCCTTTTTTTTAGTTTAAATGATATAATGTGAACTGCTAACTAGCTTTGTGATCTATTTTTTAGCAACTGTGCTACATTTCATCTGATTGTGTTATTTAAAAGAATAAATATCTTAAGGTATAATATATATTTTTTAAATTTTGAGAGTTCTTCAATATATTTTAGCTGTTCCTTGGACTGTTGCCAGGTGATTTACTCCCCCCTGATCCCGAGCTGTCCAGCTTTGGTAGCTTACGTACTGCTGCCACTTTCTTCACTGGGCCTCTCTTAGGATCAATGATTCTCTGATTGTCCGGCAGGCCAAACTGGTTAGGATGCCTGGAGGATACAAAAAAAGTGAATTACAAAATAGAGAGCAGGAAGTGCTTATACTGCATGATGTAAACATGGTGTAGTAGATCCTGCTTTATGGACCCCCACTTGAAAACACCTCATTGTTACAACTGTACTTTTGATCTCTAGCTTTCCCTACAATATGCTGCTTAATACACACTAGACTTTCTGAGAATTCAAGCTATGAAAAAGGAGCTTGGAGCAAGAAAAATGTTTGTGGTATTTTATCCAAAACTGGAACATAACAAGTGCAAGTGTGGATTGATGCCAGGACTACCTACAACAATGACTTCAGAACATTAAAAAATTCTAACAGACAACTCATTAACAAAGACACTTTTAGAGGTCCATATGTTATCAATATTAACTGGCTTTGAATGTAGCTAAGTGTGGATAGTATTCAAACATCTGTGTGGTGTGTTTGGTTTACAAGTCAAATAGTTACATTTCAGATCACCCAACTCATGATGCCTAAAATTACTTTAAATCAAGGATGAAAAAAGCAACATTACGGCACACCATGAAAGACCAACCTTAACTTAGCTGTCTGCAGCTGGGCTTCATTTTCTCGCTGAGCTTCACTAAGAGCCTTCCTTGTTTTTGTCTTTGTTTCATCAATGACTGCAGCAGTCTGAGATGCAAAATAATAAATAAATGATAATCATATCAGTATTACAGATAATGAATGTTGCTAGTGAGGACCAGATGAGAAAAGAAAGCTTTCAAGGTATTTATGGAATGTATGATTGCATGGTTGTAAAATGATGTGAAAACTGCTTCTATTCTTACTTATCATTATTTGCAATCCTATGTGGATTTCAGACAAAATGAACAATGATCCCCTAAACAAATGCAATTTGCATCAGCATGATTTTTAGCCATCAGAAATATCGCATGGAATGAGCTTGTTGTGAATTTGCTTCATTCCAAGGTTGTTGGTTAGTTTGAAGTAGCAATTTTGCTTTTGCCAATTTAATAACGTTGATTTAAACCCAGGTTTTTAAATGCTGCAGAACAATGGTACTTGAATGATATTGCAGTTCTAAGCATAATACTTACTTCATCTAGCTCTGTTAAGTATTTCTTCCTTTCTTCATTTATCTTGTGGTATGCCTTAAAAATAATACAGTAGCAATAACATTGTTGATTTAACTTTTGTTATATATTTTACATTAATTCACTAATTTTACTGGTAAATTGTCAATGATTCTACTCTGTTGCATTAAGTGACTAGGAAGATGGATAACTGACGCTCTTCATTCAAAAGGATGTTAAGAATAGAACCCAGAATCCTTGAGTCTCTGAAACCTATGATTCAATCTCAAAATCCTGGAAGCCACTATAATGAGTTTCAAAATGTCTTGTTTTTCTGTCTCACAATCTTTTCAGGGTCTAAAATCATTTAGGTTGTAGCTGCGGATTTTCACACAGTCTTGCCATATTGATGAGTCTTGGATTTTATCTCCCTGATCACTCCAGGAATTAACTGTCTTGCCGCAACAACACAATGCTAACAATGACAACAGCAATAACTCAAAGCAGAATCATTTGACCTGAAGTCCAAGGTAAATTCATTACACCACTGTACCTCCCAATAAAAGTAAAAAAGAAAGAGTGTTCCACTAGTGTTACATAATTACATTATATGGAGCTAAAGAAAGGAACAGAACTTAAGATACCTTGGATTCATTGTCTAAACGCCACTCCAAGTCTCGTAGCTGACCTTGTAGCTCTATTTTGTCTCGCTCCAGTTGTCTCATTAGTTTTCTGATTTCTGCCTGTTGGTTAAAACAGAGATTGAAATAAAACATTTTGGGAACATTTTTACAGCCTACTGTACAAATAATAATTTTGCTGACTTACTGAGACAGTCCAGAGAACAGAGGTTTAATATATTTTTTAAGACTTACATCAGATAAACCATTGTATGTTTTGAGGTGATTACTTGGTTTTCCTATATAGAAACAAAACAAAGCTTTTAAGAACTTCTCAACTAAGGCATGAGTTAGCAAACTGAATATATGTACTTAATGTACCATTGAAGTAAATATTGTTTAGTTTGATTCACAAATAGGATTAAGTAGTATGCATGTAAACTAAACCAAGATCACTACAAGTTTGTCACTACAACATGACATAACATGCTATTTGTTTACTGTTATATTATAAGCAGATAGCAATGAGCTTACCATCTCGAGAAGGAATCTTAAGCTGTCCCAGTTTGTCCCTCAATAATACAACCTGTTTTTCAAGTTGATTGTTCATCTCTTGCTGGGTCTCAAAACGGGTCTTCCATTCATTATCTACAACAACAGTCTAATGATTATTATGTACAAATAGCTGAATTCCTGAACAAACTTACATACAAATCTAACTGCAAAACAACAACAACAATAACAAAAAAAAAAAAAAAAAAAAAACAACAACAACAACAAAAAAAAAACTGCAAAACAAATCTCTTAGAAGGAGAGATGTTCTCTTGACCTGCTTGTCCTACCCACTCACTTCCTCCTGGTCTCACCCACCTACACCCTCAATGACAAAGTGACCATATATATGCACGTATACACATGCACAACTTTGGAGGTCCAGAATAAATAGATATGTATTTATATACATTGTATAATTCGCTGGTTTGTCAGTCTCTCCTATTAAAGCTACAATCAATTTCTCAAAGGTTGGCATATTGAACAACTTACATGTAAGTTATCAGAGACACTGTTACTATTATCTTGCAAACCTTTTTAAATATAGGCATACATCGTATGGGCTAAGAGTAGTGGGCTTAACTTTGGAATTACCTAATTTTAATCTTAAATTTAAAAGGAACTCTTTCTCTTATTTATTAACTAAGTTATGGAACAGTTTGTCCTCTCAGGTACGTCTTTCAAGTGATGTAAATGACTTCATAAGTAAATTGCAAAATTGTAGCTTTTTGGAACGTGTCTTATAGCTTCTCTGTCATGTTTTAAGCTATCTTACAGCTTTTTACTTTTTTTGTAGGGCTTAGCAAATTATATATTATGTATTTATTGCTAATTTTTATATATCTATTAAGTTGTTTTAAAATAGAATAACATTATTAACTAGAATAGAATAATATTATTAGCTGTAATTACTATAGTTCTCACTTATGTGTGCTTATATTTTGAACAAGTTCTTAGCTCCTTGATGAAACGTGTTAAAATAAATGATTGATTGATTGATTGACTGATTGATTCTCCAGAAACAACACTTCTGAGCCCCTAATAAATTAAACTTTTCTTAGGGAAGGGGAAGGGGGGCACGTCCCCAAATGCTGCAAGTGACTCACACCTTTGGTGCTTGATGACCTTTCTCTTTGGTGTGTACTCCATGAAAAATGTATGCTATGCCCTTGACCCTCCTTCCCTTTTTACATGATAACATAGCACTTCGAGGACCAGGCATTGTTAAACTTCGAAAACAACAAATTGAATTGCCATGCTTCTCCCCCATGAATAAAACCAGAAGGTACAGGGAGCCATTTTTCTAGGTTTTCCTGGGTGCATGTTGTACCAAATATTGACAAATCTCTATACCATAAGCTACAAGGGTTTATGGTCACTTAGTTCCATGGTCACTTCGTTCCAACCACTTCATTCCATCAAAGAGTCACTTTGTTTCATCAAAGAGTCACTTCGTTCCAAACGTAAACTAAGCTATTAAACTTTTATTTTCAATAGATTTTCTGAAAATTCGAAGTTAACAAATGCTTGGTCTGTTTTGAATCTTTGTTTATGAACAAGTTACTCCACCATCTTAGATTGTTGTGGAGCCCAGTCTTTCCTGCATTAGTGTTTTCATTGTTTATATCTTTAATAAATGTCATTAATTATCTACTTTCAAGTAGGTTTCTCATGTTGGTCATTGCTTTCATTTATTTGGTGGCTCCTAAAAGAGCCATTTTTTTGGTTTGGTATACTTTATTAACTTGTCTTCACATTTCAAGTGGTCCATTAAGATGAGAGCAGGCCTTCAATAGCCGTCTTGCTGATCTTTCGTTGGCTTCGAACTGGTCCCAAAGCTCAAAGATTTTCTGCTGTAGGTCTCTGTACTTTCGTCATTGGATTCTCCTCAGCTTCCTTTCGGACACCAGTCAGATCTGAAGTAATGTAAGCTTAGCTTCCCTGTGAAGAAGATGGATCAGCAGGTACACTGGAAGCTGTCTTCGTCTGGATGCTTGTCAATTTAAGCCATAGTGCCAACCCTCAACATCGTTGTTGGTTCTGACAGCCAGGTGCTTCCGTGGACCCAAGTGCTGGATACGTAGTCGACAAACTCGAGAAGTGGCTCCGACGCCTCCCTGCAGAGTGTCTCCTTTAGTGTGGTCGTCCTCTTTTAAAAAGGTATTCACTGTCATCAGCTGACTGAAGGGTCTGCGGCACAGCTTAAATGTAGCATCGACCTACCAAAACTTTGAATGGGCAAGGAACTCGAGCTGCTGATCAGTGGCAAAAACTAGGTGTCTCCGACTCCTTTGTTGGTGCAGTCGTTGATGACCTGGAAGCTGATGGAGAAGGAGCTGGAGAGGTTTTGCCTCACGGTTGGCGAATCAGCTAAGGACGACTTGTTTAAGGCTACTTCGGCGGGTAAGTTTGACTGATCAGATAGTTCAGAGTTGAAGTCAGCATCAAGAAGCTCAGAGTTGAAGTCAGCGCCAGGAAGCTTGGAATTGAAGTCAGCGTCAGGTTCGGCATATGCGGAGATTTCACTTAAGGCGGTACTCTCAGCCTGAGGGCTGTCGCATGTTAAACAGTGCCAGTCAATAGACACACCGGTTTTAACTGCTTCTCAGTATTGCAACTGTGATATATGTGTATCGCAAGTGCTGTGTTGCCAACAGAGGCAGCCATCACACTGCAGGCCTTCTTGACAAGATGTACACATCATAAGGTACTGTAGGTCGGAGACATTGTAACATATAGAGCGGCTTGATTCACTTGTAATGTTTGCTGAATAATATGAGTATCCACAATTGAATGATCCCTTTTATACATATCACTAGTGACCAACAGATGGAACGAAGTGACCATGGAACAAAGTGACCGGATACCATATACCCATATACCCGGATACCGGATAACCATATCAATTTGCCCCTGTTATTCAAACGGCAGGTAACACTATCCACGTGAAATAAATCAATTTCAAGTTTATCAAATTTTAGCAAAACAAACTGCACCATTTTGATCTGGGAGTTTGCTTTAATAAATATACAAACCTTTGAACAATCAGACTCAGTACATTAGTGGTTTTATAGCGAAAACAAAGTTCTGCTAATTATCTACCTTCATCCTCGACATTGTCGTTTTTCTCCTCCAAATCACTGATGGTATTCTCAAGCTCAACTGAAGACTGTTCTAACATTTCTCTAAAACAAAATTACAGGTTGAATTGTTTAATTTGTATATTAACTTAGCTTATTTCTAAACCAGACTAAGAACATCTATTTAGCAAACTGCAAATGCCTGTTCCTGCACTTGATCGCTAACAAAATTATAATTGTTTAAAGTCTGTAAAATTTTAAGGCTTTCACTGTTTTTCTTGATTTCGTATCCTTCGAAAACCTTACGACCACACAACTTCAAAGGAGATTCCCAGGGCTGGACAGTCACAAGTGATTTTTAATTATAATTGAAAACTCAAAAGGCATAAATAGTTAGACAATGTAGCTCAACATTTTGGAATAACAAACTTTCATCGGAGGTCAAATGAGGTCTAAGAGTCCATCGCTTAAATCACAATATTCACAACTTACTTCATCTGTCGTTCCTGCTGAATCTCAGCTTTCAGACGTTCGATTTCGTAGTCCAATTCCGTTCTTGGCGCTTGTTGCTGCTGTTGCGGCTTAGAACCGCGAGGAGTACTCATTTTATAGCTTTTCCTGGACCCTTTAGAGTGTTTGTGGGTCTTTTTCTTGCCTTCAACTTTCCCTTCTTCTTTTCTGATCGGAGCGATAGCGGTGAGGTCAGTAGCTCTGCGAGCATGGCGCATGTCTGGTTTCTATGGTGACGAAGACAACCGAAATTTAAAAGTTTGAAATTGAAAATAAACTTCTGTGTTGTGATGTCTATGTTGTTGTTTTTGTTTTTCATTAACTGGTTTAAGTAATTAATTAGCAAACTTTCAGTTAAGTTTGACGTCATAAACATAATAAACGGAACAATACACTAATTGACTATTTGGAAGTAATTATCGTTGAGGATTGCGAATAAGATCAAGTCAGGAAGGACGTAGAATGTCTCCCTGAAGCAGATCGACTCAAATGGTAAATCGTAAATGTCTGACGATAAAGATCAAAGCCCGGAAACGGGGCAAGATTCCAAACACAAATCAGACGCGGTGCCAACCACAGAGAAGTCGGACAAACCTGATTCAAACGCAAGTCGCACAGAAAACCCACTAGCTGGTGTGACTGCGTTGCTTGAGCGCTATGGTTACCAGCTAGGAGATATTCTTGGGAAAGGCTCATACGCAGTTGTGAGAAAGGCATACTCTAGAAGACACAAAAAGTACGTTGCAGTCAAAATCATTTGCAAAAAGAAAGCACCCGAGGATTTCCTTTCGAAATTTTTGCCTCGTGAGATCAAGGTTCTCAAAAGACTCAGCCACCCTCATGTCATCTCACTTATTGAGGTCATTGAGACCAACACAAGAATGTATATCATCACTGATCTGGCGGAAAGCGGCGATCTTTTAGAGTACATCAGAAAGTACGGAGCAGTGCCAGAGGCAACTGCTAAACAGTTGTTCAAGCAGCTAGTCATTGGAATCAATTATGTTCATGGTGAGGATGTGGTACACAGAGATCTCAAGTGTGAAAATCTCCTGCTGGATAAAGAAAAGAACATTATTATATCTGACTTTGGATTTGCGCGAGACAATTTGACCTCGGCTACTGGAAAGCGAAAACTTTGCCACACATACTGCGGCTCTTACGCCTATGCACCACCAGAAATACTTAAAGGTAGGAAACTTGTTTTAGTTTCCTAAATAAAGACTAAGTTATACTTTGTGAAGGGTATATATGTTAAACGTTTCAAGCGCACGAGAGATGGAACTTCGCGTACCATTCGATAAGGGTGTGGTTCTTTTAAAGTATCTAGTGGAATACCATTCGCCACATTAGAAACGAGCAGAAGCCTAGGGCAAGTCACATCTCGCACTGGATTGTGGGACTGTTACTGGGGACAAAACAAAAGACGAGAAGCTTTTCTGTCCCAGTAACGATCTCACAAGCTCAAAAGCAGCAACATGTTGCGTAATAAACCATCTGAATGTAGATGGTCAAGGTATACACAGTACACGGCCAGATCCTGTACGCATGTTCATCGAGCTCAACTTTGTACAACATGCTACCGCTACTAACAAGATGGATGGTGCAACGCAACAATGCTTTTCAACTTGCAACGAAACATTGTCAAGCGACAATTTGCAATGTTGCCTGCATTGATTTATTGGCCTAAAAAGTATTCAAATGCGCCGACGTGTTCAATGTTCGTTTACAGAGGTAGAAAAAAAAAAGTACTAAAAACTGCTCTATCTGATATCACTGTTATCATCTACGTAGGTATAGCTTATGACGCAATGCTAGCGGACGTATGGAGTATGGGGGTGATTCTTTATACCATGGTCTGTGGTCGGCTGCCATTCGATGACTCCAATTTACGGAGTCTTCTGCAACAGGTTCATCGCCGTGTCAACTTCCCTTCCAAACTGAACGTCCCTGATCCAGTCAAAGCCGTCATTCACAAAATGCTACAGTGGAATTTAGCGGAGAGGATAACAGTGCAGCAGCTACAGCAAGAACCATGGCTGTTTGACCAGGGGCGGAAAGAATCGGAAAAAAGCCTCGTGGTTAAAACTACTGAAGCGGAGTGACCGCCGCAGCAGGCAATGTACGCGTTTAACAATGCCTTCCATGTAAGACTACTCACTGGCAAACCAGTGAAGAAAGGCCTTTCTTGAATCAAGCACGCATCAGAAAGAAAAGCACAGGTTAATCAACTCGAATTGGTTGCGACCATTTATTGTTGTTGTATCACAAATAAGTTTCCGATAAAAACACTGCCGGTATTAAAGCCATAAAATTCAAATTTATTCTGGTGAATTTGAACTAGTTATTTCTCAAAAAAGAAAAACATATCGAGACGTGTAAAGACTTTTTAGAGCAAGTTAGCGCAGAGCATCACGTTGGGCGCACTGCAAGGGTCTTCTCTGAATCGTAAAAGAGGTCCTATAGCAGTATCAAACTCTATATAGTCCGACTGTGTTTTATTTCTTTGTATTTAGAATCGTGAACCAGAGAAGCTGACTACCATGTGAATAAGATTCTGACTGAAATCTAGAATAAACAGTTCCACAGCTTCATCTTTAGCAGAAGTCCAACGTCTTCCTGATCTCATTACTTGTTGTTAATCTGCGTTTCTCTTGGGTCTCCAGAGGCTTGCCTTGAAGATTCTTCTCTGAAGAATTTTCCATTTTCGACTCCTGACATTTGAGATTCCTCCAAAACTTTATTAGTCCCTGTGGTTTGCTGTTGATTTCTATCATTGCTTGTTTCTTGCACGGTCACCCTTTTAGGATTTTCACTGGTTTCAGCATCACTAATGCCATGTTGAACCTCTGCGTCATCATTATTCATTTCCAGTCCTTCTTCATCTACAGTAACAACCGCAGACTCATACTCTTCATCATACATTGTAGGGTCAGCATAGACAGGCACAAACCTCGTAAAAACCTGCAACCTGTGATTTTTAGCATCAGCTACAATGATATTCCCAGATGCATCCATGACAACGTCATACGGGTTATCAAGACATCCGGGATCGGAGCCAATCATCCCAAATGTTCCAAGTGATTCGCCAGTTGAAGAAACCACCTGAATTCTGTGGTTCTGACTATCTGCCACCAAAATATTGTCATTCTGATCAAGTGCTACCCCTCTTGGGCAGAAAAACTTGCCGGACCCTACCCCCCTTGTGCCAATTGTTTTACTCTCGCCTAGGTTCTCTTGGCTGAAGATTTTGAGTCGATGATTCTCATATTCAGTAACGATGACGTCACCGTTTTTCTTGACGACAATCCCCATGGGGCAGTGCAAGTCGTGAAGTCCTCCAATGAAACAAAGAAAGTTCCCATCGAATGTAAACTTTTGTATTCTGTGGTTCGCCTTGTCGGCGGCGTAGATGTTTCCGAGAATGTCAAAGGCCACAGCGCTAAGCTCGGGTCGTTTGTCGTTCTTGCTGTATACGGGTAAAATGGGACGAATCAGTTCACCTGAATAAAAATGCAAAGTAAAACTCGTTATCAAAAAGATATCGCGGATTGTGTTTGATTGAATAAGTAAATGAGTACTGACACCTACAAGAGGTTAATCAAACCCTGATCAAGGTTTGTGGTATTTATAACATGCGGTTCAGCTTGGTGCCTCTTCGTACTCTAGAGAGATAGGAACACGTCTCTTTACTCACATGTACTCATTTCCAGAGTAAGTGGATAAATACAGAATTCAGTTGTGTTGAATACATGGCCTGGACACTACTCTCCCGTCTGGGGTGGGAGAGGGAAGTAAACTACGCACGTAGTCAATTTGTTCACGCATTCAGTGACATGTCCTGGAACGAATTTTATAACATATCAACCGATTCTTTGATCAAACGATCAGTGTAACTTACACAACAAGTAAACTCACCCGTTTTGCTAAAAACCCGTAAAATCTGCGAGTCAGTCATCACCAGATCTCCCCGTAAGCTAACCGCCAAGGAACATGGCCGACATTTCCCGCCTAAGACTAGAGGCTCCCGCGCCATGTTACCGTTCAATTCCAGGATCTGAATGCGCGCGTTGCCATAATCAGCGACATAGATATTTCCCAATCCTCTGTCGACAGCCACACTGGAAGGGTACTGGAATTGAGGAGGATTAGCGCGCTTTCCTTTTCGACCAATCACAGTTGAATCGCGTTCTGAGATCTCGCCGTAGTCAAGAACCTTTTAGGAACAGAAAAAAAGACATTTGCATGAACTGTCAAGGACTGTGCCGGAAAAAAAAGCAGGCAAACGTTTATAGTAAGACTATGACTTGTAGCTTTCGTCTCTTCCTAGTGACGTGAGATAAGTTTGCGTTATATATTTTCAGAATACTATGTACGTAGAATGAGAAAGGGGCAGTGGCCACCGGTTAGCGCGCTGAACTCCAGAGCGAACGATCTAGGTTCAAGCCCTGGCGCGAATAATCGCATTTTATTCTTGGGCAAGGCATGTTGCCCTCACAGTGCTATTCATGTATAAGTGGGTTAAAATACTGGAGACGAGCTTCGACCGGATTGGCCATTTCGCCCAAACGCGGACTTCACCGTGCGTAAAATGATAATACTACAATTGGAGAGATGATTAGTATTTCCAAAAAGAGACTGAGAATGAATGGCAGTCATTTAAAAACATTAACAAATTTACGAGCTCCCTGTACCTTATATTCCAGTCTCCTTGTAATGTGTGACTCGTCCATGGTGTTACCATGATTACCACTCAAAGAAAATTGGCTCTTAGGTCTTGAGAAAGGCGTCAGCGGTTTCAAACGCCTCGTATCTTCAAGTTCAAGTGAAAGATTTTCCAATTTCTCTTGTAACTCGGACGAAGTGCGCTGATTTTTCCTTGCGCTCTGCTTCAGTTGGCGTATCTGCATCAGAAGGTCGTGAATATTATCCTCCAGTGCAATAATATCCTGTGTCTTGTGCCTGATTTCGACATGCGCCGTCCTAATCAAGTCCAGGGCGTTCTGATGTTTTGCGATGAGCTCGTCTTCATCTCTTTTCCCCTTTTCATGTTCTTCTTGTTTCTCCTTTAATTCTCGCTTTATCGCCGCACTGCTGTGGTTCTCATCAAGTTTCTGCTTAACCTTGTCGACCTCCACTTGCCGCTTTTTCAAGAAGAATCGAACCGTCTCCAGTTTTCTCTCAAACGATTCTATCTCGGCCTCCTGTTCAACGATCTTGTTTTTCAAGTTTTGAATAGATTCCTCGACAGTGACTAGATTCTCGTTGTTGGCTTGAATTTGCACTTCACACCCCTTGATCTGATTAGTGATTTCTGTCTCTGCGTCCTCGCATGTGCAAATTTCATTTTCCACGCTCTCGATCATGCGCAGTAGAGTTTCCCGCCTGTTGTTCAACCTGGAGGCTCGCTGGCTTTGCTCCTTCTCACCTGGAGGGAAAGGACTGGGTCAGACCTAGGGTTTTATCAATGGCGAGACCAAATGTGTACATAAGCTAGAAATCCTGTAAGGTATCGGCTATTATTTGACACTCTATTCAGCCGGGAGTCTCGAAGTAATTTCATTCAAGCCTTGGCCAGACGAATTATCCTTATCGGAGCAATCTAAAACTTCAGTTTTTTTTCGCGTCTATTTAATTTTTTGATGCATAGCCGTCTTACAGGAACCTAAAAAAACCTACGTTTCAAAGCAGACCTATGAAAACTTAATACAGACCTTTGAGCCTGTGCTTTTTGTTCTTTCTAATTTCACAACTGACAGCTGACGGTCACTTAGTAGATAGACGGTCGCCGTAAGTAAACTCGTTAATCCTCAAAACTGACTCAAACAAGAGCAATCTGTCGGCCATGAAACAAGAGTGAATACAACTGGCACGAATATGCACCGGCGAGGAATAATAAATTGATAAAAACTGAACGAATGTTGATAAGAGATTACGGACTCGGTTTAGGTCGTTTATTCTCACTCGCCGGCTATCTGTGGACTGAACCAATGTCTCGTAGGATTAAACTATACTCACGGGTAAACACAAAATGTAATGAATAAAGACATACTTAAGTCATGTTAAGCATAATAACAGAGGTTTTTACCTCATTCGGCCAAACATAAAGATGTAATAAATATGTACGTGGACCAGAACTGAAATATTTTGCGTGGCTCGAATTGCTTTTCACGACTAAGAAGCATTTTCATTTCTTGGAACATGAATTAACTTGTAGCCAGCTCCTTCGATGATAGATGGGTATAATAAACCAACTTATATTTACGGCGGTTATCTAACTGTGCCATCGATTCTAAAAAATAAACGTGAAATGCCGGATTGCACGAGAATTAATATTTTGATTGCCCGAAGAAAAAAAAAAGACATGTACTATGTTGGCGTTTTACAGAAGGATACAAAATGAAGCAGACCGTGCTTTCAAGTTACTTATCAGTTATAATCATTGTACCGGTCTGGATCACAAGCGGTTCGAATGAGGCATACGAATTTGATGAACGCAATTAAAATAATTTGTTACTCACCAATAATGGTGACAGAAGTAAATTTCTCCTTGAACTCGTCAACCAGGTTGACTTGCTTCAGACATTTGGCTTCTATCAAAAGCTTTCTCATAAAAGCCAGTTTCTTTTCGGACACCAAGCCTCTTTTTCTGAGCAGCTCCGTGAGCTCCAGTCCTGAATCGAGATGTTCCAAAGTCTCCTTATTGACGTGTCCTTGTAAAAGATATTTCATGTAACGAACATCGTTGAGTTTCAGTTCTTTTCCGATATCGCGGAGAAGAAGATTGAAAGGTGAATTATATACCGCTAGGGCCGACATTTAAGACCCTGCGCGCATGTAGTCTTCAGTAAAATCAGTTTACAGTGTTGATGTATATTCCTTGGTTACATTCCGGCACAGAAAAGATGCCCAATTTGCATACTCTTTGCTTTATTTAATCTTCTGCTTTTGACGCGTTGCTTGGACAACACAAAAGGCGAGCGAGGTGGGAAAGATTAAGCAAACAATTGGACCAAACTCTTATTCTTTTCACTCATTAGAGTGATTAAATTGTCAACCGTTTAAGCCGAGTACCTTTTTTTTCAAGACGGGTGTTTTTGACGCTTACTTGTTTTGTTCTGACAGTGACAGATAACCACTTAAAGCTTAATCCTTTAATATTACGAAATTTTGTTAGAACTGGTTCCTGGTTGGAGGACTTGGAGAACCCAGCGGAAGTAAAAACGGGCAAAGATTGCAAGACGGAAGGTTACAATTCAACCTTTGGCTCTTTGATGGAGACCGATCATGAAATGGCAGGACAGTTACCAATTAATTAATGTATTTTCAGTAATGTATTCCTGCATAATGTATTTTTCGGAGCTCGAAAGCCAATGGCTACTATAGTTACCGCGCACATGTGTTTTAAAATCTTTTCATAGCCACGTGCAACATTTACTTCTCTTCTCATATTTATTTTGTAATACTGATGTAAATTAATTCTGTAAGTAGTGCGCAATAGAAGTTGATTTTTTTTAAAATTAATAAAACTGTAAACAGTCAGACAGCATGCATTCTTAGGTTACCGTGTACCTTCAGGGGTGTCTCGCGTCCAAGCGATGTAGCGCGTCCGGTTTAAGGTCCGGTAATACAGGCAACATTTTTCTTCAACTTGTCACGCAACATTGTTGCATTGCAAGTTGAAACACATTGTTGCGCATATTACCACGTTTGTGACCAACAAGTCTCGCAGCAAAATACAGTTTTGCAAGTTGAGGCAACATGTTGCGCAAAGTAGATTCGAGTTCTACTTTCTGCAACAAATTTTAGTTTTGCTGCTCGTACTACCACTGAAGCTACAACTTGTCTAGCAACAAATTTGAATTCAACGCTTGTCATTGGCTGTCGCAAAGCGTGGTAAATAATAATAATAATAATAATAATAATAATAA